CGTGTGCGCAAAGAGGGGGGGGGGGGGGTTGGAGGGGGGCTCACCCCATAGCCCCCATTACCTCCAGCAACCTGGACTAATGCGGAATACAATCAGATTCCCTTATAATCATCATCATAGAAGGGAAGAGAGAAGAAAACATTTCCCAGATACTTCCAAAACAACATACGTGTCCCCTAGTAGTGGAGCCATCCATCACCTGAGGACACTAGCAAGACACTGAGGAGAGGCTGGGGTTATATGATGACCATCACAGGCCTGGCCAGGATACCGGCATAATACCCAGCCGTCTATGAATCTGCCTGTGTCCTGTATTGTATGAGCAAGAAAATCAGATTAAACATCAGCAGGCCCTTCAAATTTTGCCTGTGTTGGCAAAAATCCTAGCACCGGCCCTGTACATCAGAAGCAAACCATTTTTAAAAAAAAATCCTCATAGGATTAGCTCGCTGCATCTCCCAGTTGCTTGCACAGAGCTTGTGGCCAAATAAGAGCCAGCCCCCTGCCCCGCAACTGTAGTGTAGTTTAAAGCAGGATATTTTCAAGCTCTAACATTTGACACAGAGGCTACAGATTGTTTGTATTTATTTTTTTTAAGACTTATTATAGTCAGCCAAGACAAGAGGTACATAAGTACTTACAGAAAAGAAGCAGGTAACAATCTCTGACATGCATACAGTGTGCAGAGATATATTATTGATTCGCATTTAGCGCAGACACAGTAGCCAATAATCCTTAAAATGTACAGCCCGTGCTTAAACTGAGATGTATTTATTTATTACAGGTATTTATATAGCGCCGACCATTTACTCAGCACTTCACATAGTTGCACATTCACATCATTCCCTACCCTCAAGGAGCTCACAATCTAAGGTCCCTATCTCACATACATACATAGAGGGCCAACTTAGAGAGGAGCCAATTAACCTTCCAGCATGTCTTTGCAGTGTGGGAGGAAACCGGAGTACCCCGGAGGAAACCCACACAAGCACAGGGAGAACATGCAAACTCCATGCAGATAGTGACCTGGCCGGGATTCGAACCGGGGACCCCCAGTGCTGCAAGGCAGATGCGCTAACCACTACACCACTGTGCTGCCTGCATTAAAGTCACATTGCCCCCCCTCATTGTTTTAAGCTAACATCTGAGTGCCAGTCTGCTTTAAGACCCCAATCTGATGCCTGTGGGTGGTCTGGCTTGTGAACCTGTCTGCCTATAAGCCCTCCCAGACTCTATGATGTCATCGGGGGGAAATAAAGCCCCCCAAACCGTACAGCAGAAGCACAAACTCCGCTGCTTTCCGATGAACGCCCAACATAATGCGGGAGCCCTGCTGTGATCAAAAGGCGGCCATGTCATTATCCTGACAGGAACCCGCTGAATGTTCCTCTCTCTCTCTCCGGCAGCCGCGCAGACAATGATTGACGGGTGAAAAGCATCCCTCAAACAGAAATCAAACATGGATTCCGCTGCTTGATCAACGCGACCTCGCCGAAAACTGCTTCAAACTGCGCCGAGCTGTCAATCTCGTGACGCTTTCAAGGTCTCGGATCAAACCGCCACTGGAAGAAAGCCTCTAAATTGGAACACGGGAGGCGCCGGGTGTAAAGTCGCCTCACGCCGTTCTATTATAAATCCCGCTCGTCCCAAAACGAAGCCAAAAAGTAAAAATACATCGGGAGGTCTCAGGTTGTTCGTCGCACAGTCGTATGTCTATAAATCAGCTTGTTAAAGGAGAAAATGGAGGCCGCGCAAAGTCAGCTGCCTGGCTGTGATGTCAGTCCTCCGGCTTCAATATCCCATATATCAGATAAGGTATGCAGCTGTGGAGGTCAGCCCTTCATGTAATGCATATTGTCCCCCCCCCCCAACCCCCCTTTCATGTTTGTGGGTGTCTACTGTACCTAGCAGGCTTCTATGGAGCCCCTCCAAAGCCATCCGTACGTGCGAGCGTGCATGTTCCTGCTCTGCTGACATTCCCAGGTAGCATCTCACATCGGCCACTACATTATACAATGAAGGGGGCACACATGCAATGCACGGACATGTAGTCCTAAGGAGTGATGGGCTGCCTCCTGATAATGCAGTGAGAGTGCGCTTCCCAACCAGGACACCCTGCCGGCGCAGTCTGAGGACACCCTGCGAGCGCAGTCTGAGGACATCCTGGGAGCGCAGTCTGAGGACATCCTGCGGGCGCAGTCTGAGGACATCCTGCGGGCGCAGTCTGAGGACACCCTGCGGGCGCAGTCTGAGGACACCCTGGGGGCGCAGTCTGAGGACATCCTGGGAGCGCAGTCTGAGGAAATCCTGCGGGCGTGACCCCGGAAACGCGTCAACGACGTCACAACTCAGTGGCACACAGACAGATTGCAGTCTTGCAACTGCTGTTTCTCTGAAATCATCCATATACGCTGTTGTTTGACCTACCATTGTGAGTACCCTTGTACTTTTGTTTATGGCGTCTATTTTAAATTAAAAGGATTATCTGCACCAGGTTGGGCGCCCTTTTTTCTCTTTTGTCTTCCAGGTTTACAGTCTCCCCGGCTGAAGTGGGGCAGCACCCCTAGCGATCCTGTACATGTAACAAACACATCATCAGGAATAGACCACAGCGCTTTTGCTTCTTCTTATCTGTTTGGTACATCCTGCGGGCGCAGTGTGAGGATATCAGGTGAGTGCCACATGCCATGGACTTGCTCCCTGAGAGGGCATCATCGCGGGCACTCACATATGAAGCACGTCAGCACCGCTCTGCATTGCCTACTGCCAGAAAAGATCAGAAGAGGGCCCTGCGTGTCACATGACCAGCCTGAAGACATACATAAAAAAAGGGGTTCCCAGAGCCCAGGAAAACTAACAAAAGCAATTGGGTTGGGCGGGTGCACCACAGCAACGGCTGCATGAAACATTGAAGTACTGCGCAGCCAGGCTGTGCTCCATGTTACAAGGATGAAGTCTCAGTCTGGCAGGAGTGAAGCATTAAAAAGTAATTGATCGGCTACAGGAAGCTGTAAGGAGATTAATCTTTTTAACGTTTGCTGTCACCGGCGAGGTGAGCAGCACTAATCCTCGTGACGTTTTTCTGCTGATAAGACCACTCTGGCATTACTGGATGACTGCTATAACCTGCCAGAGACGTTCTGTGCATGTCAGTGTAATGAGCAGGCTGGACTGAAGTGGCCTACTTACAATGCTAAAAAAACAAAACACTTGCAGGAAATTGTTCGGTAAGCAATTTGTGGCAAGACAACTCCTCGTATCATTAGGCAGAAGTCTTACCCTTCACATTGTAAAGTCTATCATAGAATCCAGAGGTACACATGGCCAGGCTTAACAAAGAACTGAGGCTATGGACCTCCAAATATTTATATATTCTTAACAAGCAGTCGTTACCTTTAACACAAGCCCTCACTCACCTCTGTAGCTGTAGGAGTAACTCATCCTCAAAGAGAAAAGAGGAAGTTGTTTGAGCCGCTCTTTCCTCTTCCTGTGCCCTGTCTTTATATAATAGTACTCCCCCCCCCCCGACATAGCTGCACATAAACAAAGGGGTGGGATGCTTGTGCTGATGTCCATGACCTTATATTGCCATTAGGCCAATGTTATTGACCAAATATAGCCTTGTGTCCAAGGAGGAGCTTTCCTCCGCTTTCCGAGGGGGAGCTCCCCTCCGCGTTCCGAGGGGGAGCTCCCCTCCGCGTTCCGAGGGGGAGCTCCCCTCCGCGTTCCAAGGAGCTCCCCTCCGCGTTCCAAGGAGCTTCCCTCCGCGTTCCAAGGAGCATCCCTCCATGCTCCAAGGAGCTTCCCTTCGTGTTCCAAGGAGCATCCCTCCGTGCTCCGAGGAGCTTCCCTCCGTGTTCCGAGGAGCTTCCCTCCGTGTTCCAAGGAGCTTCCCTCCGTGTACCAAGGAGCTTCCCTCCGTGTTCCACGGAGCTTCCCTCCGTGTTCCAAGGAGCTTCCCTCCGTGTTCCAAGGAGCTTCCCTCCGTGTTCCAAGGAGCTTCCCTCCGTGTTCCAAGGAGCTTCCCTCCGTGTTCCAAGGAGCTTCCCTCCGTGTTCCAAGGAGCTTCCCTCCGTGTTCCAAGGAGCTTCCCTCCGTGTTCCAAGGAGCTTCCCTCCGTGTTCCAAGGAGCTTCCCTCCGTGTTCCAAGGAGCTTCCCTCCGTGTTCCAAGGAGCTTCCCTCCGTGTTCCAAGGAGCTTCCCTCCGTGTTCCAAGGAGCTTCCCTCCGTGTTCCAAGGAGCTTCCCTCCGTGTTCCAAGGAGCTTCCCTCCGTGTTCCAAGGAGCTTCCCTCCGTGTTCCAAGGAGCTTCCCTCCGTGTTCCAAGGAGCTTCCCTCCGTGTTCCAAGGAGCTTCCCTCCGTGTTCCAAGGAGCTTCCCTCCGTGTTCCAAGGAGCTTCCCTCCGTGTTCCAAGGAGCTTCCCTCCGTGTTCCAAGGAGCTTCCCTCCGTGTTCCAAGGAGCTTCCCTCCGTGTTCCAAGGAGCTTCCCTCCGTGTTCCAAGGAGCTTCCCTCCGTGTTCCAAGGAGCTTCCCTCCGTGTTCCAAGGAGCTTCCCTCCGTGTTCCAAGGAGCTTCCCTCCGTGTTCCAAGGAGCTTCCCTCCGTGTTCCAAGGAGCTTCCCTCCGTGTTCCAAGGAGCTTCCCTCCGTGTTCCAAGGAGCTTCCCTCCGTGTTCCAAGGAGCTTCCCTCCGTGTTCCAAGGAGCTTCCCTCCGTGTTCCAAGGAGCTTCCCTCCGTGTTCCAAGGAGCTTCCCTCCGTGTTCCAAGGAGCTTCCCTCCGTGTTCCAAGGAGCTTCCCTCCGTGTTCCAAGGAGCTTCCCTCCGTGTTCCAAGGAGCTTCCCTCCGTGTTCCAAGGAGCTTCCCTCCGTGTTCCAAGGAGCTTCCCTCCGTGTTCCAAGGAGCTTCCCTCCGTGTTCCAAGGAGCTTCCCTCCGTGTTCCAAGGAGCTTCCCTCCGTGTTCCAAGGAGCTTCCCTCCGTGTTCCAAGGAGCTTCCCTCCGTGTTCCAAGGAGCTTCCCTCCGTGTTCCAAGGAGCTTCCCTCCGTGTTCCAAGGAGCTTCCCTCCGTGTTCCAAGGAGCTTCCCTCCGTGTTCCAAGGAGCTTCCCTCCGTGTTCCAAGGAGCTTCCCTCCGTGTTCCAAGGAGCTTCCCTCCGTGTTCCAAGGAGCTTCCCTCCGTGTTCCAAGGAGCTTCCCTCCGTGTTCCAAGGAGCTTCCCTCCGTGTTCCAAGGAGCTTCCCTCCGTGTTCCAAGGAGCTTCCCTCCGTGTTCCAAGGAGCTTCCCTCCGTGTTCCAAGGAGCTTCCCTCCGTGTTCCAAGGAGCTTCCCTCCGTGTTCCAAGGAGCTTCCCTCCGTGTTCCAAGGAGCTTCCCTCCGTGTTCCAAGGAGCTTCCCTCCGTGTTCCAAGGAGCTTCCCTCCGTGTTCCAAGGAGCTTCCCTCCGTGTTCCAAGGAGCTTCCCTCCGTGTTCCAAGGAGCTTCCCTCCGTGTTCCAAGGAGCTTCCCTCCGTGTTCCAAGGAGCTTCCCTCCGTGTTCCAAGGAGCTTCCCTCCGTGTTCCAAGGAGCTTCCCTCCGTGTTCCAAGGAGCTTCCCTCCGTGTTCCAAGGAGCTTCCCTCCGTGTTCCAAGGAGCTTCCCTCCGTGTTCCAAGGAGCATCCCTCCGTGGTCCAAGGAGCTTCCTTCCGTGCTCCAAGGAGCTTCCCTCCGTGTTCCAAGGAGCTTCCCTCCGTGTTCCAAGGAGCATCCCTCCGTGGTCCAAGGAGCTTCCTTCCGTGCTCCAAGGAGCTTCCCTCCGTGTTCCAAGGAGCTTCCCTCCGTGTTTTTCTCTGCTGGTCTTGTCCTCCCCAGGCTGTGACTGCACAGTAAAAAGAGAAGCAGCAGACTGATGATCTCATCTCTCTGCTCTCTCCTCCTATCAACTTATTCCTTGCATTGCATAGCAACTGACTGGCTCCTGGTGCTGCTTTTCCCTCACCCAGGCTGAGCTCTGCTGTACAAGTGCTGCAAGAGGCTGATACCAGGTCAGGTTCAGGTACTACACTGTTTGCATTTAAAAAATACACTAGAGGAATTATTTTTTCATGACTTTGCATCTTTTATATCGGCCTGGAGTGCGGCTTTAACCAATCTTTGGGCAGAAAAGATTTGCGTGTCAATGTTGTTCTTTAGATTGTCTGCAGATCTACTTTAAGTCACCGGAAACATTTATTTTCTTCCTGGCTCCGCCGCAGACATTACAGCTCAGCAATCCTGGCCGAGCGCACGTTGTGATAAACTGACAGCAATCTTAGGCTGCATGGAAGACGACACTAACAAAATGTC